GTACGGTTTTGTGACGTAATCTCAAGGGGGAATTTTCCATGGCCATCAAAGCTTTGAACATTCGTATAGCAGCATGTCGTTAACGTTATTACAGTATAGAATCTGATGACAAACAGCTTTGTTGAAGGCAGTTTGATCCGTTCCGATTCCCATGGCAAACGTGATAAATAGTGCATGAAGGAGATGATGCTGCTAGCCGATTCTCTGGCTGCTGATGCTGCTGCTGGTGATATTGGGTGCTGGTGCAGCTGCATATCTATCGTAGCATCTATTGCCTACGATATCTTTCCCAGATAGTGGCGTGTGCCTATTCAATCATCATCGCTGAGGAAGGAGGCTCATGAGATTCGGTCGGTGGGTCGGTCAGTCGCCCTCAGTCGCCACGGAACGATGAACGGGCGGCTGAGCTCCATCCGATGCTCCTTTCCTTTAACTATTGCTCAGTTATCGACAATCTAGCATTTCAATCTCTAAAATAATTTACATTTTACTTTCGATGTCCATACAAAGGTACAACCTGACTCTTGTCAAACCTGGATTCGCCTTCAAATTCACCTCTGGAACGTTATGCTATTAAAACTGAGACCAAAGGCGCTTTGTCCTTTCACCCTTCTCTGAGAAAAGGAAACTGAATAGATCCTTGGGGTAGATAATCTCGCTTCGGCTTATGCCCCTTACTCGTTTTCCCTCTCAGAATCGTAGTAGCATTTGGATGGTATTTAGTCTTCACAATAAGCTTTGAGGGCCAGCCAACCAACCCTCTTCCATAGAAGGGACACAAAAAGAGCAGAGAAGAGGCTAGGGGGGAGGGAACCTGTTTTAAATAAAAAATTCAGATGTTGGTGCCTCAAGACGAAATATGTACTAATCGAGGGAATAAGGGAAAAGGGACCACTTGAAGAGGCCAACAAACCATTGGCGTAAATACTTTAGGGGCTCCAGGTTATGGGTGGTTCATTTCCCTCAGCATGATCGGGGAGGTTTACCTCTACTAGCACAAGAGGTAGGCTTTGGTTTAGAAACATCGCCTAACATAACATCCAAATTATAATACTAAAGTGTAATGGGTCATCTTACAACGAGAAGTGTTCCATTATGAGAAATAATTACCCCCTTCACCTTTATAAGAGATACCAGCAAAAGTAATACTTCTATTCAAAACGCTTACGGGTCCAGAAAACCTGCAAGCTAAGGATTTGAGAATTTTGCTGGTTCTTCTATGGAATAATAAAAAACTTATATCAATCACCATCAAAAACTTTTCCATCGTTTTTGTGCTAATCTTCGAGCTGATTCCAATGTCCTTTTTATTCATTCGATTAGAGAGAGTTTGCCAATTTGTAATAGGATTGATAGATGAAAGATTGATGTAGCCTGACCTTACCGAATGAGTTTCTGTGGTAATTATTATGGGCCGTTCCCCGTTCTTAGCTATTCCAAATGTAGGGCGATGATCGCCGTAGGCTTGGGCAATTATCACACTCAGCGGTGTCATCCAATTGAGTAGGAAATGTGAGCTCGATGGGGGGCGCTTGGTTCTGACCCGGCTCCTCCTCCTGATAAATTTCGGGGCGTTCTGAGCCTCTCGTCACTGCCTCTGCAACATTGCCTCTTCTATCGAGATCGAACGTTGTTATTGAGGCAGCTTTTTTCGGTTCTTTGCCCCCCAACGACCATAAGCCTGGGTAAGGGAAGGAGAAGGGGAAACGTTACTTCCCTGCCTTCCTTAAGAATTTTTGTCTTGCTATTGACCCTGTTTGCAGTTTCTCTCTATTTATGCCTTCTGTGGTTCACAAAGCTGATAGATCTCCGATTTTCAGCGGTCATGNGACCATAAGCCTGGGTAAGGGAAGGAGAAGGGGAAACGTTTCTTCCCTGCCTTCCTTAAGAATTTTTGTCTTGCTATTTCTCCTATTTATTTCTTCTGTGGTTCACAGAGCTGATAGATCTCCGATTTTCAGCGGTCATGGTGCTATTTGTGGAACTGCATGAAGGCGATTAGACGGTGATAATCTGGGGGAGGGCAAACACGGCAAACAAGCCTCCAGTTTCTGTGGGGTGTATAAGCAGGCGGGTGATCTCCTTTCTTTCTGTCCTGTTCTCTTTTTCGTATGGGAAACGCCTTTGACCTTCCTTGAGGGGCAGGTTTATCACCTCATAATTATTACACTCAGCTTGTTTGTTTCCATGTTGTTCCATATAAATCACTTCACGCCCGATAATTTCAATTTATGGCTTGTTCTCTCCGACACTATCACCGTTCTTCTTCTTTCAGGACCTATGACTTCCCCACTTCCTCTCTGATGAGTAGTCAGTCACCAATTCGACCGAAAAGTTGATTTTCTGAGGATTTTTTCTAGAAATCACCTCTCGCCCGATAATTTTCCTGTAGAATTTGAAATCACGAAAAAAAAATTAACTGGAAATCTTCAGAAAATTCATAAAACAAATCCATCAATCACATCAAAAAAGTTTGGCTTCATTTTAGGAAGTTCTACATTTCCTGCACTGATCTTTCAAGTTCCCCTGGTGGAATGGGCTCAGAATTCAGTCGTGAAGGGAGCGGCTCAGTCACCACGAAAGGAGTGGCTCAGATCACACCCTAGGCGAGTTGGGCGCCCTGCAGGCCGACGGTCAAAGGCGGGAGATGTTTGCTGTTTGACCAGCTATTAACTGTGAATTCTCAAGTTTTTTTTTCCTGAGAGTACTGTAGTTACCGTGATTCCTTCTACGATGCTACAGAAAGGGAACTTCTGGAAACGTTCTATCAATTCGCTACCATTCATGAGCGCCTTTGACGACTCACAGTGGTGATACACCCTTATGAAATTCGGTGCCAGTTCGAGAACGTGTACCGCTCTTATGGGGATACTTGTAGCTATAAGTTCCCGCGTCTCCAAAATAGCCGATTAAGCAAAGCCTTACATTAATGACATTCCCACGCCTGAGTGCTCTGAGCCAGCGTTCTAATACCGCATCCTAGGATCGGATGTTGTCGTTGGGGGCCTCATTAGGGTAATAGATAATCCGTGGCTCATTAGTTGTCGTTGTGGTCACTGGGCATACTCGACGTTTTCTTGGAGCAATAAGATGACCCGTGTTTACCAGTGTCATGCTACTGGTTTATGGCAGGTCATAGTTCATTTTCTATAACCTCCGTTCCTTCCTGCGGACTTCCTATCTGCTTCATTTATCGTTTAACTTATTTCTACCCATTCCTCTGCGGATTTCTCGTTTCCATCTATTTCTACAATTTTCGATTCAATAAAATTAATATGAGCCGTAGAGCTTTTAGTCTGTTTTGAAGGTACTCCCCGTAGGGTATGGGTGTAGAGCATCAGCATGACAGTTAGGAGACTTCCCTTCTCTGAATGATCTTTATCTTTAAGGGGGTCATTCTGCTCATTTTGAAGTCCATAGCCAATTCTAAAAGGGACCTTGACTCTCCGAAGACTGGGCCAAAGTATAAGGGCCTCTCATAAAGTTTCCGTAGAGCCTGCGGTGGCGTGAGGTAGCGAGGGTAGCCACGTGATCGGAAGTACCAGTACACAACCGCGTGGAATGCATAGCTTAGTAATTTAGAGGAGTGAACTTAACAGTTGACGTTTCTCTTCATAAGATTTCCTTCCTAAAAGCGGCCAGCAGTTAGAAAGGGAGCAATCAGAAAATCCGTTGCTGTAACTCCAGAAAATGACCAGAAAATAAGTTCTTCAGACGATTAAGGTGATTCAATTATCATTTCAGTTGGGCTGGAAATCAGATTGCGAAAAAGTTTTGCACTGAAAGCCGACAGCTGTGAGCTCACCGGTAGCACATACTATCATCTATCACTGATGAGGTTGACCTTTTGAAATGTAAGCGGAGGACTGATCATTTGTCCAACGCTGCAAACAGGCGATGACCCACGTGCAGTTGTTTCACAATTTGCAAGCATTTCCTGTTGAAATTTTGCCAACCTCACTATTTGTCTGTTTCGTATTTCTCCCTCAAGCTGCTCACTTCCAGTCCTTCCAGTTCCGGGAGAGCCCAAGCACTACCTTATTCCACGAATGGCTCCCAAGTAGTGCAGAAGTAAGAGTAACCAGTAGAATTCCCACGTCAGCTTCTAGCAATCACCAAAGCCTTCTTAGCTGTCAGATGACGTTCGGTCGCTCATGAGACATCAGGGGGCGTTCCAATCTCTACTGCCGTCATCTCCTAAGCTCCTTGTGACACCGNGCCCTACGGTCCTGTTCCTTGACGAGCTTCTTTCTTTTCTGTTGATCCGTTTCCATTAACTACTATATGTATGATGGATATGTCGTATCATCATTCAGAGAGTATCTGAGCCAATGTTCACTTCATCTCGTATTCGTTGCTTTTCTCGTGATCGAGTACCCCAATTCCAACTGCATTCTACCTTTTCTTTCAGAAGATGAGAAGCCTTATTTTGGTTCTTGTGGTTATTGCTGCCGCCATCGCCTACTCGGTTCACAAAACCGAACTTTCACCCGATGACCAACTCGTAAGTTTGGAGAAAACATTTCTCAGTGGGATCTCTTATGCTTTACCCGTGCTGCTCCGAAGCTAGAGTACCCAATTGGAGTTTTGGCTCTACTGTCTTTTTCAAAGTCGGAGTTAAGAGGAAATTATCAGGGGACATGTAGGACTTATCAAAGGTTGAAATGAGAGCATGTGAGAGGAATGTTATGTCATGGCAGTTGACCGTTGTACTTTGCTCACCGCTGATCGACCGCCCTTTTTTGAGACGAAAATCAAACGAAACAGGAAAGACACACTAATGAGAAAAGGCTTCTTGGACTCTGTCCACTCCGTAGCAGTTTGCCCTTTGATCGAAAATGAACCTGCCCGCCACTGAGACCCGTAAAACTGATTTCTTTCAATCGAGCTGTTTTAACCAGCTTCCATTTTTCATTTCAGTTGGTTCGAGTTACCAGAAAGAGCGACAAGGAGTCGTCCGAGTCCAGTTCCAAGGAAGAAACTGAAACTGAAAAGAAGGACAAGAAGGATGATGATTCCGTTGAGGAAGGATCAGGCACTGAGGTGATTTAAAATATTTGTGTGGGTGTTATGGCAGTATAAAAAGGGTTTCAGATGAAACGCATCAAGAGGAAGGCCAAAGAAGACTCATCGTCTTCGGAGGAGGAAGGTAGCGGGGAAGAAAAGGTAAGTGCTATTGACAGGTGCCGCCTTTACCAGTTTCTTCTACCTCATAGTTTTCATAGTAAAGTCGAGGTGGGTAATTTTTGAAGGGATAGAAAGCGAAAACAGTACAGCTAGCCAGCTCATACAATACTATTCCTACTAGTTGGCTAGGGGCGGGATTTTCAAGCGAGGGAGGGGTTTTGGGATCTGCGCGTGGCTCTTTTTGGGTCCTTTGCTCCCCCTGTTGGGACCATTTTTTGCTAATTTTTTTCTGACTGCGAAGGCTTCCATTATATGGTAGATGTCCAGGTTGGAAAAAATTTTCTTTTTCCAGGTTGATGGCGAACCTCCTGTAGAAGGTTCAGGAGAGGTGAGATGATTACTGTTTTTGGTGTTTATACTTTTTTCAAGTTCAATTTTTTAGTTGATAACTTCCGGTGTAGTACGAGTAGTACGAGAGGTTTCTGCTAGCAGCGAGGAATCGTCGGGTGATGTAAGTTAAAAATTTTTTTAACATTAATTATTAAGGCAACAATAGTATGGCGGTGCAGCTGGGAACTCGTCCATGTGGGAAGGGGTGGGTGAGAGGCTATAAGATGTGTTCATTGCTGCGTTCAATGTGAACTCGGTGAGCGATTCTAGCACATCCACTAGTGCACACGTCGGGTTTTTCCCTATCGCTCGGGGTTCAACTCAAGCTTTCCGGTCAACAGCCAAAAGTCATTCCCGGGAATTTGAAATTTCAGAGTATACATATATAAATTTTAAATATAATTTGCCACAACAACAATGTTCCTGCTAAATTTTGCCGAAGTAACATTTTTAGGCTCCTTCTCGTCAGAGTCGTGCCCTTGAGGGATCAGGAGAGGTTGGTGGTTTTTCTGCATACTCCTTGGAAACTGATTTTTCTTAATAGTAAACTAGAACCCTACTCGTTTGGTTGTCGGAGAGCGAAAAGCCAGTGAAGAGCCAGCAAAAACGGGATTTCAGGAACTGAGATATTTCTAGTGTGGAAGTGGGAAAAAGCGGTTGATAGCTGAAATGCTGGAACAGGCTAGCACTTTTTTTCGGAAAACGTTGACAAAAATTAGATCTGCTTCTGGTTAGAATATGATGGATGGAAGACTTCTCAACAAGCTAGCGTTTGACCGGGTCGAGTGCCACAAAGGACAGTCGAACCCTTGAAGGCATAACTTTGGAACGGACCCTTTGGATTAGTAGGGCTGTTTTTGGGTAGAAGTTAGGTCAATTTCCTTTCTATCCTTTCTATCGGAGCCGATTCCAGGTAGATATGTTTGATCGTAGTTGGGAAGTAGCACATCTCTGTGCCGACATACGTTCCAATTCGAGGGACGGGAAGGATTCCTGATATGAATAGACCCTTGCTGTTTTTTGGGCATTCGAGGAGTATTGAGATCCGAAGTTGACACAAATTTCCTCTATACACGGGTTTTAGCAATGCACGGAAAACACAAATCTTTCAACCGGCTCTAGAGCGATTGCCCCTACGGATATGTCGCGTAACGAGACAGCTAGCTAGGAACCGCCGCGCATCGAGTGTAGTGCTACACTCCAGCTAATAATGTAATCTTCATGAAATTGTATTCAAAAAAGTGTAACATAATCAGGACTGACTTTTTCAGGACTTAACTCCTGCTAAAGTTGAACATGAAGTTGAAGGATCGGGAGAGGTTGGCCCAGTCTCTCAATGTCTTTCAAGTTTATGAAACCTCTAAAAACTCCTATAACTATAAGGATCCAATTAGCAAGAATAAATCCCGTTTTTTCCAGGAACTGACCGAGGCTCGATTCGTGCGCGAACTTGAAGGATCTGGTGCCGAGGAGTAAGTGCTCGTGAAGATGGCCGTCCTAGTCTGAACAATTCAAAAACTCGAAGACTATTCATAATTCCAAGGAAATTCAATTGATCCCGATCTGTGAATTCTCTTTGATTGGTCTTGCCTACTACTGTGCTTTCTGCATATTTATGGTTACCATAATACTTTATCCTTCATCCATGTATCGTATCCATGCAGTCGTGGGAGGTTTATACTGTCTTTGTGATGTACATAATTTGATGATTATTATGTTTGTGCCATTTTTAAACGCAGTCCAGTAAATGTTTCCAATAGGGAGATCGTGTTTTCCTAGCTCGAATGTACGTATTGCCACACGCTTGTCTTGATACGTATGTAGGTGAGGCAGCACTGAAGAGCGCCGCCATCACATCAACGACTCGGGGATCGAATCTCAGATCCTGAGCAGGAAACAACTGTCAACAAAACCTCTCAGCCCCCGACAGTTAATCAAGACTTTCCTTGAAGACACTAGGAAGCCCTATAAAAGCTTCTTTGAAAGCCCTGGCTCAAATGCGATTGCGGCCATTGCCAAGCCTAAGTTCAAGGTGAGGCTCAAACTACCGTTTTGAAGGCCGCTGCAGACGCATTAACATGGATGAGAGGGAAAAAGGGGTTGTATATGAAGAAGGAATTGAAGTGTCACAATGAATAAGGATTTGAAAAAAGCCTACAGGACTTCTTCTACTCCAATTGTTTGCAAGCTTCTTTCATTCTCCTTCGAGACAGGGCATGTCACATTGATGCATAAACAAATAAATAAATACATGAACTCTTCGCTTCCCCTTATACCTA